GTGGAAGAGTGGACAATGCAACAGGCCCAGCCTACCTGTGCTAAGAAACTCCACAAGAGAAAGTGGGGGACGGCGAAGCTCTGATACCATGTAAAGAACCTTGGATGTTGGGTGAGGCTGTATTAATGGTTTTATATATCTCAACACGCCCCCTCACACGAGAGCCCACTGGGCTTGAAGGGTGGACGATGCACAGGCCCACCTACCTGTGCGAAGAAAGAAATTTCACTAGAGAAAGTGGGGACGATGAGGTTCGAACCCGGGACACGAGGCTTTGATACCATGTAAAGAACCTTGGGATACACCACCCCAAAAGCTAGTTCAAAGGGTGGGAGTGCCCAAGGCCTTATAAACTCCACATTAGTTGCACATAAAACCAACGTGGGAATATATATCTCAACACACCCCCTCACACGAAAGCCTTTTGGGCTAGAAGCGTGAATATTGCACAGGCCCAATTTTTGGTTTACCTCTTATGCTTTTTTATTTTAATTCCACTTTAAAGTGAGGGGCGGTGAGGATCGAACTTGTGATCTTATAGTCACTCAAGCTCTGATACCATGTAAAAAATCTCGGGATACACCACTCCAAAAGCTAGCTCAAAGGGTGAGAGTGCCCCTTACACGAGAGCCCATTGGGCTTGAAGAGTGGACAATGCAACAAGCCCAGCCTACCTGTGCTGAGAAACTCCACAAGAGAAAGTGGGGGGACGACGAGGCTCTGATACCATGTAAAGAACCTTGGGATACACCACCTCAAAAGCTAGCTCAAAGGGTGGGAGTGCCCAAGACCTTATAAACTCCACATTAATTGCTCATACAACCAATGTGGAACTATATATCTCAACATGATATGAGATCCTATACAAGAGAGAAACCAAGAACAACGAAAAAAATGAACTTAAGATTTAAAACGATTCATTGATATAAGAATTAGAAGTCGTTTGTTTCACCTTTTAGAAAAAGTAACTTTTATCATTTTCTTATTTTAAAAGTACTTTTTACAAAAGTTAAAGCTATTTATATTTTTATAAAAATATTTATTTTTGAAAAAATATTTGACTTTTGACTTCTGCTTTTCTTAGAAGTTAAAATTTTTAGCTTATGAAAAAAGTAAGTTTTTGGCTTTTTTTGTGACTTCTCCTTTTTTTAAAAGCAGATATCCAAACGAACTAAAAGCGAAAAGTGCTTTTTTTCTTGAAAAAAAGCAGCTTTTGAAAAAAAAAAAAACCTGTCCAAACGGGCCCTTATTTGCGCAACACTTATTTATAGACTTTCTAGAACACTTGAAGCTTATGATGAAGTAATCGTCATAAATATACACTATCAGTTCAGCTACACGTAACTAAATCCATGAAATTCTAACAACCCTTAATGCAGTCGCAAAACGTGTAACCTCCTAAAGCCTATTGAGCTTTGCTTTTCCCTCCTTGATCTCCTTATCATAACATTCCCTCCCCTACATGAAAGACCTTCTCAAGGTTCAGAGGAAGAGTTGAAGATCTTCTTGGATCCCACATCAATTGTTAAGCAGCATGAGCGATATTTCCAAAACTTGACTGATCAATTAATATCAAAATATTCAAAAGTTGATGGGGAATTTTGGGTTCCAAATTTAGAAGTCTACCATTAAAAGGCAAGGTTGTGCGACCACTTGGTCTGTTGCCATAGAATGCAAAAATAAATTGACCACATGTAAAATTAATTGGTGAGGGAACTGATGATACATGGGATTCAAACCTGCTGTATCATGAAAGCACCAATGATATAATGTGAAATCCTGTCTAAGAGAGAAAACAAGAACGGAGGAAGAAAGTGAACTCAAGATTTAAAATGATTCATTGATATCAAAATTATTTGTGCAATACCTATTTATAGACTTTCTATAACACTTCAAGTTTATGATCAAGTAAACGTTCTAACTATACACTAAAAGTGTGGGAGATGACCTCGATTCGAATCCTACCAACACCATCTGGGGAGGAGCATAAGTACCGTAATCCTTGGACTCGCACCTGAACTCTGGATTAGTCTCATAGACGGCTCAAAAAGTCAAACCCGTGAAGATACCGAGAGATTCTGATTCGCCTCAAAGAGATAATTATGATCAGTTAAAAAAAACTATACACTAAAAGTTCAAACTACACGTTACTAAATCTATCTAATTATAGTTATCCTTAATGTACTTTTCTCTAACAGTACGTAACAGTATTGAGATTAGCTAAAAATGTGAAGTACACGAGACCATTGGGGTGGTAAGAGACTTAAAACAAATATTACTTTACACATATACAATATAAAAAATAATAATATAGAGGTGTTAAAAGTGGTTCCTCAATCTTTACACAGTGCAACCAACATTTGGCCACTGTGATGTCTAGTGAAGTGAGCTAAAAATGAGAAAATAATTGTTTTACGAAAAAAATAAATAATTGAAAGTACGTGACTCTATGCTTAAAATTTGAATTTATCATAAATGTAAACAATCAATTTAACCCAAAAACTTAGGTTTGTCGGTGAGGATTTTTTAATTATTTATACTATTCTCTAACACGCCCCTTCACACGAGAGTTTGCTGGACTTGAGGGGTGGACAATGCATAGACCATTTATCAGTGCTAAGAAAATTCTAAAAGAGAAAGTGAGGACGGTGAAGATCGAACTCGTGACTTCGAGGCTATAATATCATATAAAGAATCAATTCAACCTAAAAACTTAAGTTTACAAGTGAAAACTTTTTAATAATTTATATTATTCTCTAATAATAAAAATACATAATGTTATCCAAGATATTCCTACCCCCAAGTCCCCAAAACCGAAAAAAATTATTTCCCAACCACGCATGTGTTTGCCTGTCAGTGATAAGAGGTTGAATATAACATCTATATATTATTGGATGGGAATTTCGATGTTATGCATGCATGTGGAACCATTTTGACAAATATGTGAGGCGAACCTTTTATCCAAGTATTCATATTCAATAATTAATGCGTTGAACTTCAACCAAACAATGCATGTTAGATTTCTTCATTGTCCGTAATATCTGTAATTAAAACGACGTTATTAATTAGGATGTTCTCTAGTCTTATCGTGGTGATTGATTCATAAATTAGCTTTGGGGTCATGGGGTGATTAGCCTCTCAGTTGCACTGTGCACAGCAGACAAGTCTGACAAAATCGGTGAATAGGCCAAAAGGCAAAGAAGACAAGTTTTATTCAATGTACAAATTGTAGTTGAAATGGGTATATATTCACTCAAATTCAAATGTGATTTTGGAAGGTTTTGAACTTGGATTTGCATCGAGATCATAGAAAGACTCTTCATATTAGTAACATGTCATGATATAGGTCATGTTTGTTTCGCAGTTGTCAGTCATCCAGATAAAAATGGAATTAATCAAATCTAAATTTGTTTTATTTTAACTTCTAATTGAAAAATAGTAGAGTAAGCCTGCAAATTTTTATACATTTTAAAATCTAGTTTATACTGTATTACTTTATTTTAATATAATAGTTTTTTAAAATAGAGATAAATATTAGCTATGAATTATAAACTTATACGAATAGTAGATTTTATCAACAATTTCGATATATATGATTTTCAAAATAATATTACATCATTGTACTAGAGATAAGTAAGTGAATAATGCAAGGTTGTCGGTGTTGTTGGTTGGCTTAACATTTTTTCTCTCTTTTTTATTTATTTATAAATCATAGGTATTCTTCATGAAAGGTAAGTTTAATCAAGTTGGAACATCTACGTCATGGTAGGACTAACTCTTTCAAAGAAATTTTTTCACATTCACAAGGATTTAAACTTAAGAACTTGTTTAAGCGAAATCAAGCATATATCACTTAATCCCTTTACTCGACTTAACATTGTCTATCGCTAAAAAATATATTGAGCGGATCTATATTCTCACGTGTGATGGATCAAATTCGATTCAACTCTCCCAAGTTGGCCTTCTTGGAGGAAGAATGTTGCAAATTCCAATGTAAAAAGCTGGCCTTGCTTCCGATTAACTTGCAAGAATCTTTCTCTTTTTAAGGAGAAAAGCAAAAGCTCGATTATATCAATATGCAAAAGCCTTCAATGCATCATCAGTTTCATATAGTATATATGCTTGGCTCAAATGAGTTGGAAGAAGAAATTTATTTTCCCTCATAAGAATAAATACATAAAATAAATTAAAATGGTGATGTTGCAAGCCGGGCTCCAATTTGAGTTCGGGCCAAAAAATTATGTGTATTTTTTTTAATTTTAATTAATTTATATCATAATATATTTAAATTATATTAAATACAGGACACCTGAGCAGACAGCACTAAAAAGAATTATAATTTTATTAAATATTTTTTAATTTTACTAAAAATATATATTTAAAAATTGAATACATAACCTAATACAATTTACCCAAATCTTTTACCAAAAATATTTTAAGTTTTAGATAATTGTCAAATTACAAATTGTAGCCCGAGTCAAATTATAATTTTAACCCGGTCAAATTATAATTAATTATATAATTATACATAATAAATACAATTTGTTAAAATTTAGCTCAGGCCGAGACCACACCCAGGCAACACATGGCTCCGCCACTGGTGGCAATTGTTAAATTACCCAAAAACACTCTTTTAAACTCTCTAGAAATTGAAATTATTACATGGGAAAGAAATCGAAGGTTATATGTAATATATATATATATATATATATATATATATATATATATATATATATATATATATATATATATATATATAGAGGGGTAAAATAAGCAAGGGGATTATATTCAAAACTAATAAATACTTGAATTATATGCATGCATTTTCAATGATAAAAATGAATATTAATAGATAATGTTAAAAAAGAGCGCAAACACCAAAAGAACGGAAAAGAAAAATGATAGGATTTGATTCAAATCGCCCGCTATTTAATGAGAATATAAACACTAATATTATTAGTAAAATAACCACGAAACCACTTATTTACCCCAAAGTCTCAAAGTCACTATATTAAGCTGTTGGCTCTTCACGTCAATATTTCTCATCAAAATAAATATACACACTATTTTTACAGCTAATTGTTGTCAGAAGGGTGGAACATATGTAGCAGCTTAGTTCTTGGAACTAGAAGCCGAATGAGGATGCAGTTGCTGATACATGGCAGCCATCCTACTCTGTGCATCCATGGTCGTGGGCTGCATGCAATTAATCCTTTTTACTAATCATCATTTCATGAAATAAACATATATTAATAATACCTAGAAATTTACTCAATAATTATATTATCATAAAATCTAATGAAAAAATTTCTTTGCATTAATAAAGGTTTTTACCAAAAAAACGGTCTTTTAATTCCCTCAACCCTCAAAACGACATAATTTTAGAGTTGATGGAGAAACAATAAACCCTATATATATAATTGACCGGTGGATGTCAAGCAGATAGAGAAATGTAAATCTCATACATATAAGTAAAATCATTTTTCCAACTGCTTGGCGACGTCCATCAATGATAAATGTATGATTATGATTCTCTGCATTAATGTTGTCACCTATATATATGGTAAATAATTGAAATTGACTGCTAGATGTCAAGCTGCTGGAGAAATATAAATCCCATATATATATATATATATATATATATATATATATATATATATATATATATATATATATATATATATGACAGGTTATATTTACAAACTTATACAAACTACACTATGTTCAAAAAAAGTTTGTAAACAGATTCTTCCCATATATATTTTTGAACATAGTGTAGTTTGTATAAGTTTGTAAATATAACCTGCCATATATATATATATATATATATATATATATATATATATATATATATATATATATATTACCAATGTTATTAAACCGGACCGGTGATCAACCCGGTCGGGGTACCGGGTCAGTGGGTCACTGGTTCAACCGCATGAATCGGATATATATATATATAAATTTATATTTTATACTCAATTATATAATAAATATTTTAAATGGTGCAAGTGAATTAAGAACCAAATGTAGTAATTTAGTGGTAAAGACTATAATTTATATCTTCATAACAAGGGTTCGATTTCCACTAAATGTTATTTTGAAATAATTTTATTAAATGATAATATATATATATATAATGATGCATATTAACTAACAAACAAATTCAGTCTAGTGGTAAGTTGTTGTTGGACATTTTCATGAGACTTGAGTTCGAATCCCAGCGGCTACAAACCGCAGTTCTTGACCGGTTCACCAGATCGGGTCGGGCCTGTCCGATCTTAAGTACAAGTAAAATGATACTTTGAGGAAATTCTTTGGAAGCTTATGAAAAATGTTACATTAAATAGTAGAGTTTTTTTTTTTGGTAGTTTTAATTGTAAATTTTCTTGTTCTATATATCCCTATATATATATAAAAGAAAAAGAAAAAGAATGTAACCATGCTCTCATAGGACTGAAAAATAGAATGCAAAAAATGTGTATAAGGGGTGAGGCATGCATCACCGTGGTTGGTGCTCCTTGCATTTGATCGCCACCGCAGGCATCCCATGAGGGCATAGGCATGAAGGGATTAGGGTGGAGGACAGGAGGGATTGCCGGAATGTTCATGTTGTTCATTCCCATACCCATCCCCATCCCAATGCCCATCTGAGCCATCATAGCCATTTTAAGTTGTTGTTGTTGCATGGTAATTGGCAGCATCATTAAGGACATTTTCATCCAATTCATTATTTGAACTTGCGCTTGCAATTGCTTCAGATATTCTATCACTTCATCCAGCATCGAAGCTTTATCAGTCTGCAAAATACAAAGACGAAGAAGCTCCCATAATATATATATACATAGTGAAAGTTATGTTTATAAATTTTTTAAATTTACAAATTCTTATAAATTACACTGACCGATCAGACACTTTTAAGTAAAGTTTGACCGGTCAGACATAATGTAATTTATAAGTTTATAAAAAAAAAAAATTTCAATATAACCTTTCTCTAAAATCATATAGTATAAATGATGTTAGTGTTTTATCCATATTTGAGGCGATAAATTATATCATGGCCTACCACTAGAAAGAGTTTACAGGGAGCAGTTGGGTGTCTCAATAATGAACAGAAATTTGTGGGGACTTTCATGGCTGCAAAATACAACCCCATATATATAAGGGCCTAGAGTGGAAAGCAACTTGAAATTATTATTTGAATGACTTATATAATGCCATAGATTTAAGCTTGCAGAAAAATATCTTGTGAGAAAAGAACAATCACCACCCTAAGTAAAATTTAGCTTTACATTCAAATTATGACACACAAAAAATACATAAAAAAAATACTGCCCTATACACCCCCCCTAGCCATTTGATTGGAAAGACGATTGTGACCACATATATTCCATCGACACAGTACGTGTCTCTTCATCTGAATCTCTGGGCTTTAACAGTGTTTTAATTGAACATGAAAGAACAGAAGGGTGCTCATAATTAGTGGCGGACGCAGAAATTTTAATAAGAGGAGGCGAAAATAAAAAATACTATATCATGAATATAAAGTACTTGAAATACAATACAAACTTAATATACAAAAAATTGAAAAAAAATCTATTACAAAAATTAATATCACTTCACTTACTCTTGCTCTATGTGTTTTCATATTATTAAACTCAAATATAATTGAATCCGTGCTAAAATTCAAAATAATTTTTTTTTTCAAAATATGTAATCAAAGATAGTCTATGACTATACATACATTCAAATCTTTGAAAGGTGGAAGTTGATTCTGCCTGGCTTTAAAATTTACACAGCCAAAATTGAAAGGCTGGAGAAGGAGGTTGGTGATGGACGGAACACAGAAAAGAGAGAGAGGATGATATGATGTTCTCAAAGAAAAATACGGGTAAGAGTGTGGATAGAAGCATGATGAACTAAAGAAAAAAATGTATACAACACGATAATTTTATCATCACATTTTTCTACATATATTATAAAAAAAATTTCCAACTTTTAGAGAGGGGCGGGAGCCCACCCTAGCCCCCTTACTGGGTCCGCCCCTGCTCATAATGCAATTATTAAAACAGAAGTTTGACACTGTCAAATTTGATAATATTAAAAAAAGTTGTACTCAAAAATTTGTAAAATAGGTTTAGAATTAAAATGATTTCATTGGAACTCAAATTGTCATGTAGTTAATTACTTGAAATATGTGAATAAAATATAAGAGTAAAGAAGTGAAAATAATATTATATGGAATACTTAGCCATTTACACAAGGCATAACAAGTATTTGCATTAGATTATTGAAAACAATGATACTTACATGATGCTTTGGTGAATAATATAGTCCATATTGAAAAGACAACCGGATGTTAGAAAAAAAAAGAGACAAAAATTCTAGGAATAAACCATAAAGGCATGCAGTTTGGTTAATTGTCCTGAAAATGTTACCAATCCTTCAAGTAAAAAGGCTCTTGAATAGAAATTTAAGATCATAATTCATAAACTTCAAGGTTAATGTAATAAATATTGCTTTCAGAAGTTTTTAAGAAAATTATGATGGTGATGATTATTATTTGATTTACGAAATGGTTTGCTTTATGAGAAGGCCAATCCAAGTAAACAAAAACACCCACAAGAAGATGCAATGTGAAATGGGGATCGTGGTCCTGAATCCTCATGGGACCATTAATTGGTGACTAGGAAAATGCGCGAGAAAGGAGGATGTTATAGCATTATGTCCCCGGATCTCACTGAATTGAATTGAATAAAGTCATAAACTGGGAATATTTGATAGTAGAATACTGGCTCAGCTACCACAATTGCAACTATATATACTATACCTTATTGGAATTTGGGACCAGCTTTTGCAATTCCTTCATTCTTTGGTTTATCTTATCTCTCCTTTTCTAAAAAACAAAAAGACAAGAAAACCAATTATCATAATCATTCCTGATGATAAAAATATATAGAAAACGATACTTGCAAACACAAAAGTGAAACTCAAGTAAAACCCTTTCAGATTGGTTGTGTATAGCTGCAGCTCTGTTTCTTTTTGTGGACACTGAACATCTCTCTATGCTTTTGGTCTTGTTAGCCTCATCCCGTGCCTCCCTCTATTACATTTTACATCACATATATAACATAATCATATATCACCAAATTTGCATAAAAAAACACAAGAGTATCAATAAATAAAACCCCATTAATTTTTTTTTTAGAAATTAACACAATTAATAAGGAAAGGGTCTTTTTTTTCTTTTTTTCTCTTCAAAGGATAGATAGGACATAAGAGCTTTGCCTGTGAACTACGGTGGCTAATGGAATCGTGGCCGTCGTTGTTGGTGGTCCTCGTGCCCTGCCTGCCGGAGCTGGTGGTGTTTTCCGGCGAATCTACACACAAGGCCATGTGGCTAGTGGCACTGCCACTCACACTCCGATCCCTGCAGCCACTCAATTCTTGCGATATAGCCACACGCGCCACCGCCCCGGCTTGATTTCCGACGAGGTAACCGTCGCACTCTTTAGTTGCAGCTCCACTGCATGACCCCACACGTGCCGTGCACGCGCCAACCCTTCCCATCTCCATAGCCTGCTTCATATTGCTCTGCTCCTCCATACAATTGGAGCACGGCACTAAGGCGTCCGTAGTCACCTCGTTTGCGGTGGCGGTCGCCGCCGTAGCACTTCGGCAATCAAGCCACGGAACCAACTCGTTCCCACAACCACCACCGACACCGACACCGACACCAACATGTTGGTTGAATATGGACTCCAAGGTGCCACTTGTACGAGGTTTGTCCCATGTTGTAGGGTTTCCTGTGTTACCGGCTTTAAGAAGCTTCGGCGGCGGTCCTAAACCATGCATGGAAAGTCGCCCATTTTCATGGTCCAACCTGCATGCATCAAATTCCATGAATTCATCATCAACATGTAGAAGCCATATATATGACAGAATTATTAGGACTACGAAATATATATATATATATATATAGAGAGAGAGAGAGAAAGAGTAGTGTGTACATGGGAATATGAAGGGAAATGTGATTGGAGTTTGAAAGAAGAGGGACTCTTGTTGTTGTGGGACTATTGTCTTCCAAATCCCAGTTAGGAACACACTGATTCATTTGAGAAATTGAAGGAGGTTTATAGCTAAAATTGTGCTATGCTTTGTTCATGTGATGGGGAGGGGGAGGATGTAATGGACAGAGGAGAATGTTGAGGAGAACGAGGATGTAAGAAGGATTTTATAAGAGTTATTTGTTTTTTTTTTTTTTTTTGGATAAAGAGCTGGCCACGAGAGTTGGGGTTTCAAACCCCCAACCACTAGCTTAAGGGACGAGATGCTGAACCATCACGCTCACCCATGTGGTTGTTTTTGTTTTGTTTTTTTGACACAATTATTAGAGTTATTTGAGAAGGTGGGTTATGGATTTTATTTTAGGGTTTAGTACTCTCTCAAGAGAGAAAAAAAATATGAATTTCACACACTTTTACTTTTATATATGTATAGGGGATACTTTTATCTCCTACAAATATTAAACCCTTCTTTGTTTCTGAGTAAAGTATTTCTCCAAGTCACGGGAGATAATATCAGTAATTTTGAATTAATGAAGGGTATTTTTGTAATTTTAGAAAAAATTAATGAAGGATATATCAGTAAAATTAATATGACAAAAAAATAAACAAAATTACGTAAACAACTGTCATTAATTCAAAACAACGTAATTTTGGGGATCACTTGAGATAAGTTATCTCCGGTGACTAGAGAAATATTTTACCCTTTATTTTTTATTTTTTTATTTTTGGTACAAGATATAAGGGCAATGCCCCCATTAAATCCTTTGTTTATTTATTTATTTATAATTATTAGACCCTTTATTTTATTTGGGAAAGGAATGAATACAATATATTTTGACGAATAAGAGGGACAGATCCTTTATTTGAAAAATCAAACTTTTTGGGTGTCTTTGATGACGGGCAAAAAAGTTAATGAGATTAAATGAGAATGTTATTGTGGCCAGGGCTTGTGGGTGTCTATTAATTGGTACAAACACTGAAAAACAAAGCATCACAATTATTTTGCACCAGAAATTTGGGATGCAAGATTCATTTTGTGGTCTTTACTAGCTGGATTAGACACACCTAGTGATGAAGAAGGGAACTAATTTTAAATGAGATAACATATTCAGATAAATTTCATCTATGACTCATAAAGGACCGAGTCCCCTTGAATCTTATGGGTAGATACACTAATAACTTGTTTAGATGAGATTCTCCTCACAAAAACAATAAAAGAAAAAAAATTCAATAACACTTATCATAAGAAATTATTGAACTTGTTTTATTTAACATCTGCCCCTAGTAGGTTAAAGCTAAAACAAACTAGCCTTAAAATAACTTGGTACTTTATTCTTTCTTTCTCCTTGAGCTACAACTCGAAGTTTTTAAAAACTGAATTGGCCATTGAATTAGTGAGGAAGTAATTCAACGTTTAATAGTTTATTATGGTAATATTGGTGTATGATAAAATACATATTCATATTTATATATAATATATTTATGTATTCAACGTAGAAAATTAAAGTCCCATGTCGAACAAAAATAATAGTTATGATTATAATAATAAGGGTTTAGTGTTTCTTCTTTAAAATGTCATAGAATTATGTCCTTTTTTTTTTTTGATAACAAGAATTATGTCCTTTTAAGTAAAAGAAAGAGATACACAATGAAAATCATTGGGAGAAAATAGATTTTTTTAAATGTAAATTGTAAATAAAAAAACTAATTTTAATGACCATCTTTTAAAAGAAAAAATATTTTTCATAATAATAAAAGTGAGGAAAGTTATAATTATCATCTCTTTTGCCTTATAAGTTACAACTTGTTACAACTAATTTTATTATCATTAGATTAAAATCAAATTAATGGCTCTGGCTCTGATCACTTGACACCAGTTTATAATCATTGATTTAATTTTGATATAAGGACAATGAAATTAATAGTAGGAGATTATAAGATAAAACAGGTGCTAAATATAACTTCCCATAAAATACAATACAATTGATTATTATACAAGGCATTCAAAAACTTAACCCAATGAGATTAAATTGGCCAACTAATGGGCCTGAACTAATTGTCAGTCCAATAATGAGAAGACCAAAATTGGGCCCAACTTTGTTGACCCATTGACGAAAAGCCCAGATCGTGAATCTGGGGTTGATCAGTGATGTCCAAAGTCTAATGACATGGCAAAGCGTGATTGGTTATTTTCGCGTGGACTCACAATACATAACGAAGTCAAATTCTCCCTCAATTATAAAAACAGTTAGAAGAAAAAAAAAGAAAAAAAAAACGTTTGAACAAAAGAACACGGAAAGAGAATTCTACTATTCCGGCGAGTTCTCCGTCTCAGATCTCCGACGCCGACGAACCTCGTTTTCCGGAATTCCTCATTCAGGTTCGTTTCAATTTCCTGTTTCAGCTTCTTTTTTCTTATTTTCTTAGATTCGAAGCGCTGATCTGATCACTGATCTGGGTTTTCCCCTGTAATTTTTAGGGTTCTGAAATTTAATATTTATATTTACAACCTGTTCTGCATAATTCGGTGGTTTCCTATTATCCGATTTGTATTGTTTTCTTCTATTTATTTATTTTTTGCTTCAATTAATTTGAATTGTGATTTTCGAGTTTCGTTCCCGAATGATCCTGCCCGGTTATTTGTTGTTGTTGATTTGGGGAGTTTGTCATCGTTTAATTGGGTAATGGTGGCGATGAGGACGATAATGGTGGTGACGAAGATGTCAGAGATGTTGATGATAAATTTGGCTTAAAAATAATAAAGCATGCTTTAAATGTGGACTAGAGAACCAATGATGAACATCCTAATATACCTTTAGTCTAATTTTGTTGAAATAAATTGACTAGTTGCCTTTAAATCTCCATTGCAAGTGCTTGATGTGATTGACCAAGTTGCATTGCCCATATTCTTGCACTCAGTTGAGATCTCATGCTACCTACCTTTCTCGTGGAACTTAGCTCTAGTGGAGAAATTCTTCTTGCCAAATATGTGCTCCTTCTTTGAAACCAAAATGGGATCAGTAAGTGCTGACCTACACCCGGTACTTCCGTAGGCATCTTTCTTTAGGTCACCAAGAAGCAGCACAATCTCTTCATCACAAACTTCTGCTACATAGTACTAGGTTGGTTCTGGTACTATCAAACGCTTGGAACCTTGTTTCCTCCAAAAGTACCATGGCTTTAGCTCAACCTTGCATGTGTACTGGGCTTCTCCTTCTGGACCTTATACTGATACTGATAGGCCATTAAGCAACAAGTTTTTGCACCAGGTGATGGTGATCAACTGTCAGTGATCAGCAACATTTGCTCTGTATATAGACATATAAACACACTGACCTCAATGGTCATAACCACATGATCATCACTCAGCTTCTCTGCTGTCGAAATGCAAACAGGAATTCCAATTGAGTCTTGCATCAATCTTGATGATGAACTTTGAGTGCACAGGCTAGAGTTTATTAGAGCAGTATAGATCAGAAGTTGAAAATAAGAGGAGATTGGATTGAGAGGAATTTTAACATGAACTCATGAAGGAAGTGAGAGCCTGAATGATCTCAGTCACAAGCTGAATGAATGCTAGATGCTGCAAGAGGTGGTGTTGGCAGCATAGGTTGGATTTAAAAAGAATATTTCCAAACTGGCAAGTGGACTGGCTGTGAGTGAGAGTGAGAAATGAACAACCCTTTTTGTATTCTGTCTTATGTCTCTTACTTATCACCACTTTCAATTAAATTTTTTTATATTTTGGTTGAAGTTTATTTTTTAAGTTCTAAGTTGAATTTATAAACACTTTATAGAAATTAGAATCCAAGGTTGTTTTAATTCTACTGTATTGGAAAGTGCTTACTTTGAGCCTTTGTTAGATGCATAGAAGCCATTTTTCATCAGATTTGGTGTATAGATTTTTACCTAACTTAGGAGTCATCTATTCATATCAGCACATGACATGGGACTAAGATAAGGTAAAAATAACCTGCCAAAACTGTTTGGAAAAAAGAGCAACTGAAGTTGTAAGGGTTAGCTTTCCAATGTAAGGTGCCATCATATTTTTTCCTTGTTTTAACAATCTGGAAAACGATTACAAACCCTCCAAAACAAACTCGGTTGTTTTTGTGCTCCGGGATCCGGGTAGGGTTTCTGCTTTGCATGTTCCTGTGCTATGGAGAGGACAAGGTTTTTCAGACCTTGAATTTTGCTTGTAGTTTTCTCGCTTACATTGGTTGTTAAGTTGAAGGTCAGTACCCTCTGGTTGGATATGCATATCCTTTTTATCATTCAATCATAGCTGATGTAACAGTGCAGGGCTGGATGAAAGTTTCTTAAATTTGGTGAATTTGAAGAAAAGGAAGGGAAATAAATTAAAATCAATATTTACCTGCCAAATCTTGATGTCTGTTGCTTATGTGGTTATGTTTTTGCACAACTTTTTAATTCATTTGAAAGTTAAGTAGTTAAGATTTTCTTTATAATTAAATAACAAAATTGTTCTCAAGTGGTGGTAGTCTGAGTTATGAGAAGCTGAAATTGTATTCATTGATTTTGAGAAGATATTGCATGTAGGTGTTAGTTTAACATTCTAAATGAATGAAATTGTGTTTCAGAAAATGGCTTTAGGTGGACCAGCTCCCCCAAGAGGAAGTGCAGCAGCTACTGCTAGCATGAGGAGAAGGAGAACAACCAGTGGTGGGGCCTCTGGAGGAGCAGCTGGGACTATGCTTCAATTTTACACTGATGATGCCCCTGGACTCAAAATTTCCCCAAATGTGGTTCTTGTAATGAGCATTGGCTTTATAGCATTTGTTGCCATGCTTCATGTGGTGGGCAAGCTGTATTTCGTGCGTAGGGAGGCTTAGGGGATAGGGCAAGAAGTTCAGTTCATTTTTGGATTTTTAATACATTGTCTCTGTTACGGTATTTAGATTTTCTGTTGCTGGATCCACCCATACAATCCTTTGCTGTTATTTTTAAGTTTAATAGTGATTTATATTTGCTTATTGATCTTAAGTTTCTAGAAGCACTAGCGGTTATAAGAAGAAACATTTCTGTTATATCCTTTTGTTTCTGCACTTTCAGAAATGTGTTTAGTTTCTTTTGGTCACTTCTTAGTACTTGAAATTAAAACTAGAAAACATTGTTGGAATTATGTGGTGTATCTCAGTTGCTAATCAAATACTACAATCGTTGGCTTCTGTATCTTGTTTTTCTTTATACATAAGTGAGGCAACTTACATATACAACACAGAAGCAGGTTAATTAGATTTTAAAGAATTTGAGTCTTTTAAACTGCGTCTTAGATTTGAAATTATGAAATGCATTTTTAAGATCGTTAGAGTTAGCACTGGGGATTTACTTGCACAGTAAATTTCAGTTGCAATCATCATAGTAAATAGAAAAACTATCATTGTTTACCAATTATGTGATATATATGAAACTTTTGGATTTAATTTAATATCTAAAATTTTGTTGTAATTTTCAGTCAAACGTTATCTTGAAAACTACAACCTGTTACGCAAAATAATTATATACATGTCATTGTATTGCTGAAACTGAATCAGAATGAATTAAGTGTAAGTTCGAGGATAAGTAGACATTGCTTCACACCTGCCACAGAATTGAAGGCCACGAGCATTTTAGAGAAGAAAGGGAAAGAGCTCCATCAAACAAAGGACAAGACAATGTTGAGCTAACCAATTATGGTATGTTTCAATCAATCCCTGTTCATAAATTGCTCCAAGTGTATTAACCTTAGTTTGAACAGGAACCACTTTTAAGACCCAAACAATGATCCTCTATCAGTACAGCCTCAAATCCACCCAAGTAGACATTCATGTATAAAAGGTTGCTGTTTCTCCCAGCTTTTCCTATTTGATTGTTAACCTTCTTATAATATGATACCCTTTTCTTCCACATCTCATTATATTATCTTTTGAGAAAGTTTCGGTAGTAACCCCTTTTATGGTCCCCTTATAACCCCTTTTGAGAAGGTTTCACCATTATGTTTCCCAATATATTGGCAGCACTCCAGACTAGGCTCTACGATTGAAAGCTTAGAGGCATTAGATAAAGGTTGTTTCTATTCCCATATTTGGTGTAAGACTACCGAAGAGAAAGTTGACTGAGAGGTGCAAGTTTTTATAATTAATATGTTGAAAATATTCCAAGGAATTGTTCTACTCAGATTGTTCATTCCAAGCTATGGTTCCAGGAATTTTTTTCATTGATAATTACAAAAATACTACATTGTTTTCACTTCGATTTTTGTTTAATTTTTTTAAAAAAAATCCATTTTATTTTATTTTATAAGTACTATGCTTTTTTTTTTGGGGTAATAAGTACTACGTTTTTATTTCAACATCAACAACATATTTATCTCAAATTAATTGGGGTCAATAGTAGATGAATCTAAATAAAAGGTACAAAGAGATTGTAAAAAGATAAAAATGACTACTTTTTTTATTTATATTATATGAATTATTTTATATATCATAAACATACTAATATACTATAATTAAAGTTAAAAAAAGAGCTCATACATAAATTGATACATATTTGTTTAGCAGTAATTGGTCAAAGCAAAAATAAATCCTTGAGTTTTTATCTATTTATCACCTCTGACTTAAAAGAATAATTTTACAATAGAAATATTGTCAGTGAAAAAAAGAAAAGTGGTAGGCATTTAACAACTATGTTGTACCAACATTGATACAGAACACGGGATACAACGTGACATTCTAACACGTTAATTCTAAAAAATGTTAGATTTAGATACGTTAATATATGATTTGATATTAAATAATATTTTTAATTAAATAGAATATATCAAATAATATTTTTAATTAAATAGTGTATATTATATTTAATTTCAATAATTTAACAAAAAATGAAGTTAAACTTATAATACCTATCAATTTTGCACACAAAAAAAAAACATAAGATATCTTAAATATTTATATTAAACTCAATAAAATGGTAATTGTAACCAACAAATATAATAGTTGGAACTAAATGTGCAACGCAATGCAACCTTTGAACGCTTATTTGAATCTCTACCACGCGTGTTGAAGTGTCGAAGAATATTAAACCGTCAAAAAGTGTTAAATATGACACATAAGAGTTTTTGAATCGTAACTACTCCATAATTTAACAATCCTAGAGTTCACCTATGATTCTGGTTTGACCCACTGAGCCATGTGTCACACCATGCAAATCATAGCAAAGCATACAGTAGGGGAAAAAAAATTTATTCCACAATTTTAATTATTTTTTTTAGGACAAGTCAAATATTAGATATAGAGAGACCTGCATGGAAGTTATTTATTTATTTATTAATAATCCTAATTATCTTTTTGGGATAAATGAGATCTTAGATATAAAAATCTACAAGGAAGATTATTTTTTTATTCCATGATCTTAAATAAATTACATTTCAAATATAAAACATGTATAACACTGATCTCAACTCTCAAGTCGAGTTGCATCACAATTATGCTATTATTTTCTGAAAGTCTCTCTCACTTGGCGTTAGAAGCTTTAAAAGCCTCACTTTACTCTGTGTCAGTTAACTACAAGACTTTTTTTTTTTTTTTTTTTGGAAACAGTTAACTACAAGACTTTGAATTGAACCACAATATATTATGCTATTTTCTCTCAATTCTGAAATACTCATTCTGTTCCTTCCAGTTTCTTATTAGCCTCTTCCCTGTCTATGTGTCCCTTTTAACGCTTCTCTGAATCAAAAATCAAAATCTTCCTTTGTATCTAATTAGCTCATAGAATTTAGTTGCACTTTTCTCCACAACCACTACCTTCCTGATTTCTTTCTCCAAAAGCATTGTGTCATAAACTTCAAAACTTGTGCTCCTTTGTGAGTGCAATAGCCTCTATATTCCTCTTTGAAAATTCTAAACTTTGAAAAGTGGAAAGTGAGTGTGCTGAAGTTGCTTTACTTTGTTCTCTTTTTTCACCCTCACATGGTTATTGTCTGTCTAGTCTATTCCTTTGTTTGTTTTCACTCTTCTCTTTTTATTTATATCCACTGAGATTTGACTCTAACTCTTGCTTCTATTTTGTGTCCTTTCTGTGGCTACTGTTCCTTGAAACTGTAGGAGAAGTAGTAATAGCACCTTCTCTCTCTCTCTCTCTCTACTCATTATTGTTTCTTGCATCTGAAACTTTCTTATATATGTGTGTGACAAGGAGGTGGTGGTTGTTGTTGTTGGTTCATATACTATGTTGGGACCCACCTACCTTTTTCTACCGTATGCAAGCAAATGGAATGGCAGTGTTCTTGAAAGGGAATAGTTTTATGCAAATTCATGAGGAGCTTCTTTGAATACTTTACTGCATTCTAGATATTACTGTGATGATGCAAGTGCAATTCATCCTATTCCTGTTTCTTGTTCTTTTTGGGCCACTTTTTGTGACCTCATTAGACTCAGCTTTCAACGATGATATTATGGGGTTGATTGTGTTCAAAGCTGGTCTAGAAGATCCAAAAGGTAAACTTTCTACATGGAATGAAGATGATTATAGTCCCTGCAATTGGGTTGGTGTCAAATGTGACCCTGCAACCAATAGGGTCTATGCTCTTGTCCTTGATGGATTCTCTCTTTCTGGGCATATTGATAGAGGGCTTTTGAGATTGCAATTCCTTCAAATTTTGTCTCTTTCTAGGAATAACTTGACAGGGACCATAAACCCTGATTTTCATAGCCTTTGGAATTTACAAGTTGTTGATTTGAGTGAGAACAACCTTGTTGGGTCAATCCCAGATGGGTTTTTCCAGCAATGTTGGTCTCTAAGAGTAGTATCATTTGCCAAAAACAACCTTACAGGTAAGATTCCTGATTCTTTGAGCTCTTGCTTCTCATTGGCAAATTTGAACTTTTCCTCTAATCAGCTACAAGGGGAATTACCATCTTGGATGTGGTATTTGAGGGGACTGCAGTCACTTGATCTTTCAAATAACTTGCTGGAGGGAGAGATTCCTGAAGGAATTCAAAGTCTATATGATTTGAAGGTGTTAAGGCTAGGAAAGAATAGTTTCACTGGTTGGCTTCCTGGAGATATTGGAGGCTGCATGCTTTTGAAGTCCATTGATTTCAGTGATAATTTTCTCTCTGGGAAGCTTCCTGATTCAATACAAAGACTCACCTCATGCACATCCCTTAGTTTGCAAGGGAATTTATTCACAGGAGGCATTCCAAATTGGATTGGAGAATTGAAAAGTCTAGAGATGTTGGATCTTTCTGCAAATAGATTTTCTGGTTGGATTCCAAAATCAATAGGAAACCTTGACTTGCTGAGTAGATTAAATCTCTCCAGGAATCAGATCACAGGAAACTTGCCAGAGTCAATGGTAAACTGCATTATGCTTTTGACTCTTGACATCAGCCACAATCACTTATCAGGCCTTCTTCCTTCATGGATATTTAGGATGGGTTTACAAAGTACCTTGCTTTCTGGGAACAGCTTCAGTAACAGCCGTTATCCTTCACTTACTTCCTTACCTGTATCTTATCATGGTCTTCAAGTTTTGGATTTGTCATCAAATGCATTTTCTGGTGAACTTCCATCTGGCATTGGAGGTCTTAGTAGCTTGCAAGTCTTAAATTTGTCCTCCAACAATATCTCTGGTTCTATTCCATTGAGTATAGGAGAGCTTAAATTTTTGTACATTCTTGACTTAAGTGATAACAAGCTTAATGGAAGCATTCCTTCTGAAATAGAAGGGGCAATTTCACTTAGTGAACTGAAGCTACAGAAGAACTTCTTAGGTGGGAGAATTCCAAGCCAAATTAAGAAATGTTCAGCCCTAAACTCTTTGTGAGCTTCTCTATCATAGCTGAAATCTTTCATACTTTATAACTTAATATGGCTGATTGTATTTTAGTTGTGAAAATTCAAATCTTGAGTTCAAGAGTCTACATTTTTTTTCTAATTATTTCTCTCTTTGTGCATATTTCAATGGACAGGAACCTTTCTCACAACAAGCTTATTGGTTCAATCCCTTCACCCATTGCAAACCTAACCAATCTTCAGTATGTAGATTTGTCATGGAATGAACTCTCTGGAAGCTTACCCAAGGAGCTGACAAATCTTTCCCAACTTTTAACATTTAACGTTTCATACAACCACCTTCAAGGTGAGCTACCAAGTGGTGGCTTCTTCAATACCATCTCTCCTTCATATCTATCTGGTAATCCATTGTTATGTGGTTCTGTTGTTAATCACTCTTGCCCACCTTTCCATCCAAAACCTCTAGTCCTAAACCCCAATTCTTCTTATTCCAACTCAAGAACTTCCTTACATAATCTTCATCATAAGGTCATGCTCAGTATCTCTGTCCTTATTGCTATTGGTGCAGCTATTTTTATTGCCATTGGTGTGGTGGTTGTTATTGTCCTAAATATCCATGTGCAGTCTTCAATGTCACGTTCTGCTGCTCCATTTGCATTCACTGGTGGTGAGGACTATAATTGTTCACCTGCAAATGATCCAAACTATGGAAAGCTTGTGATGTTTTCTGGTGATGCTGACTTTGCTGATGGGGCTCATAATCTTCTTAACAAAGGCAATGAAATTGGTCGTGGTGGATTTGGAGTTGTTTATTGCACTGTCCTTCAAGATGGGAATTGTGTTGCAATCAAGAAGCTTACAGTGTCTGGTTTTATCAAGTCCCAAGAAGACTTTGAGAGAGAGGTTAATAAGCTTGGGAAGATTAGGCACCAGAATCTTGTGGCACTTGAAGGTTATTATTGGACTTCATCCTTGCAACTCCTTATTTATGAGTACATAGCTAGAGGGAGTTTGCACAAGCTTCTACATGATGATAATAGCAAAATTGTCCTTTCTTGGCAACAAAGGTTCAAGATTATTCTTGGAATGGCAAAAGGGTTGGCATATTTGCACCAAATGAACATAATCCATTATAATCTAAAATCAACTAATGTTTTGATTGATTGTTCTGATGAGGCAAAAATAGGAGATTTTGGTTTGGTGAGGCTATTGCCAATGCTAGAGCATTGCATTTTGAGTAGCAAAATTCAAAGTGCACTTGGATACATGGCTCCTGAGTTTGCTTGCCTCACAGTTAAGGTAACTGAAAAATGTGATATATATGGTTTTGGAATCCTGGTCCTGGAGGTGGTGACAGGAAAAAGACCTGTGGAATATATGGAGGATGATGTGGTTGTTCTCTGTGACATGGTGAGAGGTGCATTGGAGGGTGGCAAGGTAGAGCAATGTGTTGATGAGAAGCTTTTGGGTAATTTTGCTGCAGAGGAAGCAATTCCTGTGATGAAATTGGGGTTAGTTTGTGCATCACAAGTACCATCAAACCGTCCTGATATGGCTGAGGTAGTCAACATATTAGAGTTGATACAATGCCCTTCAGAAGGATAATAGGAATTATTATGAATTTTAAGTTGTAGAGATTGAGATACAGGCTACAGCATATATATATTGCAATACTTGGTGAAGAACAATCCATTTTGTTGGCTTTAAAGCTATACATACAAAGAATATTCAGTCAATTCCTTTCCCAACTTTAGTTTGTTGTTGAAGTTGTAACTTGTTTCACTGTATTTTTCTCTTCTTTTTCTTTTATTTTTGTTCATCTCAAGTTGTAGTACTGGATTTTTCTTCACCATTTTGGTAGCTAATACAATGGTGTTTTCCTTATACTCTTTCCCTACAAAACACAAATTGCATTTTTTCAATTTTTCATTGCAATTTTGTTTGGTTTATGTTCTTGTTGGGACATACTGTGCTTCATGTTGGTAGGAACCCCCCACATATCTTATTAGTGCACCCTACTAAATAACATCAAACTATTTCTGACTGTAAGAAAAATTCTCAATGAATTAGATATTCCTGAGTTTAGAAGTGAAAATCTAATATATTTTAGGTTTAATATATAAAGATTACACAGACCTTGACATGTGGTATTTGTGGTTAAATATGGATTATTAAATTAAATTCAAAAATATTTATGAACTGTTGATTATGACCATTACTTGCAATACATCAAAGAATTATTTGTTTTTACATAGACACATGAATCTGGGAGAAAGAGAAGAAAAAAGTGGTACACAACTTCCTTTTACTTTTCCTTTGCATGTTAAACCAAAAACTAAAATATATGCCACGACTATAAAAATGCAGATAACAGGGAATGGCAAAGAAAAAGAAAAAAAGTAAAGGTAATAAAAACACTCGCTTCCTTTATTGACACTTAAAGCTAGAACTATAATTTTTTGTGTTCTCATAGTAAAAAGTTCCTCCCCATAAAACATAATAATTTACTTCTCTAATTGGCATGTCAGTTTATGCTAGTAAGTTTGATAATAAAGCTTGGATGTGAAGTAAAATTTTAAGACATATTAACCATTTAATTCTTTTTGGTAAACTATTTATCAATTTAGTGCGAGTGACACATGCATGCGAAATGTTCGCATTTAAGTAGTGCATCACCTTATGTGCAGCTTGTGCAAAAGTCACCAAAACGCATCTGTCACGTATCGTTTTTTGCAAGATACGCATGAGGTGCATGAACAACTTGAATGCGAAGTGCGAATATGCACGTCTTACATTGTGTTGATTTTTTCATAAGTCGCGTCTGATACATATTTTACTCGCATTAGATTAGTAAATAATATGTCAAAAAAATTAAATCAGTAAAATATTTATGTTTTTGCATTATGCGTCAAAAGTTCAAAATTAATGTTACAGCTTGAATAAATAGATGTAGGGCTACGACACAACCTTATCAAATATGCTTCTTTGACATTATCAAAAGCGCGAGTCACACAGAATCCTTAAAAGGACCACCAACTAGAACCTTTTTCAATTGGCCACATATGGTGCAATGCATGATAATCATGGCCATGTTCCAACAAGGTGCACTGTTTCTTACTGCTGTCTAATTGAAAGAGTATAACACATTTTAATAATCAGATATAATGTTTGGTGCAGCTTATTATTGATTTACATTCACGCTACCATATACTAAGATGATGATGCATACATGTAAAAGACAGAAAATGTAGAAGACCCAAAAGAACATTATTAGCATGGAAAGAAAAACGGATACCTCCAATTAAGTAATAGAGTAAATATCTTTTTTGGTCCTCAGTAAATTTCAGGATGCCTGTTTTAGTCCCTAGCAAATAAAAATGCCATCATGGTCCCTAAGAAATTCAAAATGGACATATTTAGTTAAAATCGTGGTCCCTTACAAATTCAAAAAAGATCCATATTAGTCTTCAAAAGGACTAAAATGGGTAAATTTTAAATTTCTTAGGGACCACGATAGGCCTTTTTATTTGCTAGACACTAAAGCGGGCATCGTAAAATTTGCTGAAGACCAAAAAAAGTATTTACTCTAAGTAATAAGAAGCTATAATATCATTTTATCTAATTAACATATTGATTAAATTAATTTCAAAAATATTTATGAACCATTGATTATGACCATTACTTGCAATACATCAAAGAATTATTTGTTTTAACAGAGACACATGAATCTGGGAGAAAGAGAAAAAAAAAGTGGTACACAACTTACTTTTACTTTTCCTTTGCATGTTAAACAAAAAACTTAAATATATGCCACGACTATAAATAATGCAGATAAGAGGGAATGGCAAAGAAAAAGAAAAAATAAAGGTAATAAAAACACTCGCTTGCTTTATTGACACTTAAAGCTAGAACTATAATTTTTTGTGTTCTGATAGTAAAAAGTTTGAAAATAATCAAGTATGAGTTGTAAAGAAGTATCATATAGATTAGACATAGATCAAGTGATGACCATATTGTTAGGTTTAGTATGCTCTTTTTACTTAAGCCCAATAGTTTTAGTGAGAGTGAGCCCAAAGTCCAATATTAACCCATGAAGTTTAGGGTTAGTTTTGGATTGGGCATGGTATATAAACACTCTTTTATCCTTTGTGCCTCCTAGGGTTACAGACATCAGAAACATACCTAAGAGGCAGACGTTCATCATCTGAACGGTTGCCCACACTATCACCTGATCCCCTTGAGTCATAGCCTGGAAGATCAACTGTAGAGCAGAATTGCGACCGTTCGTGGTGCGTTGCTGCAGATCGTGAAGCTTGAGGAGGAGAACAGAACGTGAGAAATTATCACGCTCGCTGCTTCATCTCAGGTAATCAAAGCGGTGTTCTTCATTCCTCATCACATCGGTACGATGCGCTTCCGCGTTTCTGATGATATACCTTCACATATAAATGCAAAAGACCCATAAACCTACAACCTTAAGGTTTTGGGTTGAGATGTGGTGTCGGCCCACTTATTGTGATTTGTCATTTGGCCCATTGGTGGATGTACCATTTGCAAAGGATTTTGGGCTCCCTCGTTCCATTCCCAACAGTGGTATCAAAGCAAAGTGAGTAATTGGATCTTCAATTCCAGTTACCTCATAATCTTCCATCCAAGCAGGCCTTCTTCTAACACGACGAAGAGATTGAGTTCCTTCTTCGTTGACTCCAACTACTGTCGGTGAGGATTGACTAGCTGAAGAAGTTGCAATGGATGAATTTTCAAGAAAACTAGATGCTGAAATTTGTTCTTGTTCAGAATCAATATCACAAAGAACTTGGGTAGGCTACTGCATATTCCAATCCCAAGTGTTCTCTTCATCAAAAACAACATCCCTGCTAACCACAAATTTTTTTGTCAGTGGATTAAATAATTTATATGCTTTAGATGTATCACTTACACCTAGAAAGTTTCAGCCTTGTCATCAAGTCTTTTTCTTTTCTGATCCAGGACATGAGCATATGCAATGCATCCAAAAATTTTAAAGTGATCCACATTTGGTTTTCTCCCAAGCCTCTTCTGGCGTCATATTTCGAACTGCAAAGGTTGGACATGAATGCACCAGTTTACTGCTTCTGGCCAAAACGTCTTTGGAACTCTTCCTCTTGCCAACAAGCTTCTAACCATGTTGAGGATGGTTCTATTCTTCCTCTCTGATACACCATTTTGTTGTGGTGTATATGTAGTTGTAAGCTCTTTTCGGATGCCATGTTCTTCACAAAAAACATCAAATTCTTTTGAGCAATATTCACCACCACGATCTGTGCGAAGTGTTTGAATCATCCTTCCTGTCTTATTCTCCACACGAGCTTTGAAATTTTTAAATGTAGAGAAAGCTTCTGACTTTTCCTGTAAAAAATAAACCCACGTTTTTCTTGAAAAATCATCAATGAAGGTAATTAAATATTTGTTACCTCCATCAGAAATTGGATTTATTGGACCACAAATGTCTGAATGCACCAATTGCAAAATTCCCTTTGCTCTCCATGAGTTCCCTTTTGCAAATTCAGAACGATGTTGTTTGCTAACAACACATTCTTCACATACTAAGGAATGAGGAATTGTGATTTGAGGGAGGCCTGTCACCATATTTTTCTGTTGGAGCGTCTTCAACCCACCAAAGCTCAAATGGCCATAGCGAAAATGCCACAACCATGAAGGATCTTTCATTTCAGCCATTAAACTAGATTGGATTCCTTCAATCTTTAATGGAAACAATCTGTTTGAACTCATCTGAATAACAGCAATAGCACCTCTAACAGAATCATATATTTCACAAACACCAATTTTAATAGTGATCACATAACCCTTTTCTTGTAATTGGCCAGCACTCAATAAATTACTTTTCAAATCAGGAACATACAATATATTAGATATTGTTTCCACAAAACCATTCTTTGTTTTTATTTTAATGTCACCTTTTCCCATTACTTTCACAGTAGAATGATCACCAAAACTCACAGTAGATTGAAAATTTTCATTCAGATGAGAGAAAGAAGACTTACTACCACTCATGTGGTTGTTGCAGCCAGTATCCACATACCAAACATCTAGCTCAATTTTCTTTTCATCTTTAGCAACCATCAATAAGGTTTCACCTTCCTCCTTTTCTGCAAAGTTTGAACTTTCTCCTTTTTCTTTGCTATTTGGCAACCTAGTATAACATTCAGATTGATAATGACCAAATTTATGACACCTGAAACATTCTACCTTGGATTTATCAAGGGCTCCTCCTCTGCCTCTGCCTTGAAATTTATCATTATTGGCTCTGAAATTAGTGGACCTTCCTCTACCTCTGCCTCTGCCTCTATCTCTGCCTTTACTCCTTCCTTGAAAATTGTTGGAACGAGTATCGGTAGAAGCCTTTAATGCTTGCTCATCTGTGTCTTCCTGTTTGAACTTCTGTTCATGCACCACCAATGAGCTCTGCAATTCATCAAGTGACAAATCATCTATATCTTTAGATTCTTCTATAGCACAAACAACAAAGTTAAATTTTGCTGTTAATGATCGAAGAATTTTTTCTCTGACAGTTATTTCTTCAGTCCTGCCTCCATGAATTCGCA